GTATGTGTAATTATATTTTATGTGTAATTATAGATAGCTGAACATATATACGCATCATCGAAATATTTCATGGCAAACAAGATTTCTTCTTGGTTAAATGCCTCTGGACCATCATACGTTGTAGATACAGCCTGCAGTTCAAGTCTTTCCGCTTTAGCTCATGCGTACACAAGAATGAAAAACGGAGAATGTGATGCGGCCATTGTAGCTGGTGTTAATCTGTGCTTAAATCCCTTTGAAACGTATCAATTTTGTAGTCTTGGTAAAATTAATTTTTAAATGATACTATTATTACACAGTACATATTTGGTTTTCAAGTTTATCACAAAATATGATAATGATTATTGACATTAAATTGTGCGGAGTGAAAGACATGAATTCTCTTCCAGTTCTGTTTTATTATTACGTCAGACTGCTTTAGCTGGCCACCTTTAGCTGATGATAAACGATCAAATAAGATAACCAGGTGGAATAAATTAGCACAGTAGCAGAAAAACGCTAAAGAGAATTATTATTTCTTTCGCCGCGCATGAATGACGGCTAATATATACATTAATAATGCAGAACATTGACCAGAAAAATAACATGTCCATAAAACAAACTATTATTATTTAAATACTTTTAGGAGTATTGTCCGCTGATGGTTACTGCAGACCTTTTGATGAAAAAGGCCGTGGTTACATGCGCAGTGATACCGTTGCTGTGCTGTTTTTGCAGAAAGCAAAAGATGCAAGAAGAATTTATGCTACGTGTGTTCATGGTAAAACAAATTGCGATGGTTTCAAAGAAGAAGGTATTACATATCCATCTTTTGAAATGCAGAAAGCTTTACTAGAAGACTTTTATGAGGAATGCAAAATTGCACCTTCTGAGATATCTTATGTGGAAGCTCATGGAACTGGTACTGTAGTAGGCGATCCAGTAGAAGTTACAGCTATTGATCAAGTTTTCTGTAAAAACAGAAATAGTCCTTTATTGATGGGCTCAATAAAATCAAATCTTGGACATGCTGAGCCTGCTAGCGGTCTCTGTCAAATAGCAAAAGTATGTAGATACATACATGATAAGCTATAATAAATAATCCATTTTTACTTTGTTGCATGCTGTTTCCACAAAAAGTTCAAACTATAAACTCTAGGATTTTGAAAACATAAGATAGTTATCCAAACTAATAAATATATGTAAATTGGGTCATGAGAGCCGTTCACTAGGTGTTGTGCGTAAATTATACGTGTATATATATACATATATACGTGTTCACGTGTAAATTTTTACACGTGAAATTCGAATTGTAATAACAATTCTAAAATTCATATAGGATGCTATATTTGCATCTCATATATGAGAAATCCCAAATACCCCCCTTAATTGAAATTAAATTTATATTAGTTTGAATAGCTGTGCATACGAACAACGCATGTACATATGTGTGTTCGCTTTAAGCGCTTAGCGCTTTACCCAGCAATCTATTTTTATTGCCAAAGCAAAACCACTGAAACGCATCTCTTATTGTAAAAATCAGTCAGTTAATATTTCTAAACGGTATACTATTTTTTTAAACATTACACTCTGCATCTTTCACGCTTAAAAACTCGTCTCGCGAGTCTCTTTTCCGTTTTCAAATTCTTTTGTTGTTTTTTTTATATAAAAATGCGTCTAATGATCAGAAATTTACCATTTGAAACTTTCCTGCAAAAAATTATCAGCAACTTTTTAAGCCTGAAAGTAATGTAAGACTTTTTATAAAAGCCTTCTAAATCGTATTTTTAGTTATCTTACAATTAGTCAGCTGCAGGAAATAAATTTGACCGTGGTTTAAAATAACCGCAAAGTATTAAAATTATGTTATTGTCACTCGATAATATATACGCAGTATAAGCAATGATACGCAATTTGTAGAAATTCAAGAGTGAGGGTAACACCTGACAAACGTCATAGAAACAACTCGATTCTGAAAAGTTGAGGCAACGGAAAATGCTGTAACGTAATAATAGTACACATAATTGTAAATTTTACAGATACTGATAGCAATGGAAACTGGTAAAATTCCAGCAACTCTGCACTTCAAATCACCGCGAAAAGATCTTACTGCTGTTCTTGAAGGTAGAATTAAAATTATTACTGAACTTACACCATTTAATGGTGGGTATGTGGCGGTTAATTCTTTTGGATTTGGTGGCGCAAACTGCCATGTAATATTAAAATCAAATCCGAAAAATAAGATCAAAAAACTAGACGATTTACCTAGACTTGTAATTGTGTCTGGTCGTACTGAAGAAGCTGTTAAAACGATTCTGGATGATGTAAGAGCTTAGAAATTATATTAATCGAGAATCAAAGTATTTTTTTGTATTTCATTTTTATTTAACCAAAATTAGATTACTTTTGGAGCTTTAAATTTTGAGATTGGCTTGTGCAAAAAAAATAAGTAGATAGTGTTTCGAAAACTTGTCAACGTCAACTGCAAAAATACGGGTTCCCATTTAAAAATGTTGAAAGTAAATTTAGCACAANTGGGAAGATAATTTTCAGATCAAATGTCAGCATCTAAGAACTTCTGAAACATAATTTTTTTGTATTTCTCATATTTTTCGAGATATTTGTCTGACGCAAATAATATGAGACACTAGAGTGTTTTGTATAGTCCGAACTGGCTAACTTTCTCGGAAACTAGACTCAGTTTTAAAAACAATGTTTGAAACAACAGTTGCAAAGTATAGAGCGATATATTTACTGATGTTAATAAATTGACCCAGGATAATGTCAAGGTAACATCGATTTTTGTAAATAGAACCTTTTTATCGCATATTCTTGTAGCTGACATTGAGGNGTTTTTGAAACACTAGTTACAAGCCATTTGTTGATTAGTACTTGCAGAGTGACTTTATGAGTCCTTATATCTTGAAACAATTTACTTTTTTTTATTGGTTTTGGTTTTTTTAAGTAACGTATTTTATTACGTTATAGGTGCATAATCGGCCGATTGATACAGAATATATTGCTCTTTTACACAGCATTTATAATAAAAATATAGAACGTCACCCATATAGAGGATATACTATAGTTGGATTAACAGAAGATCATAGGTCAATTAATAAGCTAGAATGTTATTCAAATATAAGTAAACAAATTTGTTTTCTATTTCCCGGAACAGATGTCATATGGAGTAATATAGGTATTTATTTAAATAAGTTATTATACATGATTTATGAAATATATAAAGTATTTATGAATTATATAAAGTATTATATGTGTACACACTCATACGCACACATGTATGTATTGTACACAAGCACGCTCGCTCTAAAGATGCTCAAAACTATCAATTTCAATTTATGTCAATGTATTTTTTGCTCTATTTATTTATATTCGTTGTTAATTTATTTTTTCTATGCTATATGATCTTAATCATAATTTAGTATGTAGATCAATGACTGCGAAATGTTCGACACACAATGATGTGGATTTTTTTTATATGAATTGTGTTTCAATAATGTTTTCATTTTTTTTACCAATTAGAGAACTTTAGGTTCTGAAGTTTAAACTAGAAATATATAAACGGTAATAAGTGCCGTTCGCTATTGTTGTGTAAATTTGCGTGTGTATATATATACATATACCCAGATAACCAAGACTGAGTGATCACATTTTGCAAAGTTTGCAATAACACATTATGCCAGTACAATGTAGCCAGCATTCAAACATAATCTGTTATTTCAACTAGTGTCGACAGAAAAACAGAAAAAAAAAGAATATAAATATGTCATGCCGTGATGCAAATATTTTTGCATCAATCAAGCAGAACTTGCTGAAAAAATGTAGCAGATTTGAAGCATAACGTGCTATTGTCATTTCATTCTTCATTTATTTCTATATTTTTGCTGTGTTGTTTTCTTTNCGTATCGTGCCTACATAATTCACTCACTATGATGACACAGCTGAGTAAAATCTGCTGCAAAGTGCTGATTAAACCTGCGTGCATACTGCTGGCATACTGCTATCATTTGGCTATCGGGGTATATATATGTATTCACGAGTAAATCTTACACGTAAAATTTTAATAAATTTTTTAATTTCTTTTTTTACCATTTAAAAAATCCAACTCAGAAGGTTGAAAATATAACTAAACCATTTCGGACTGCATACTTGTCAAATTATTGCTTATTGTCCACGTTACATACATTTCGGTTTGTACTTGCCGTTAATTCCTATTTCTTGCTTTTCTTTACACCACACCGACTTCAAAAGAGCTCTTTATATATTTGATTTTAAAATTAATTTATTGGAAATATATATTTCTTGTTTATTTAAACATATTTTTGTTTGAATGTACACTTTGAATTCATACATATGAAAAATATTTTTATTTGTTATTTTTCAGGCAAAGACTTAATGAAACTACCAATAATTGTCAAAACAATTCAGAAATGTGATGAAGCACTAAAACCATGTGGTATATGTGTCACGGACATTTTATTAAATAAAAACGAAATTACTTGCAATGACAGTATAAAATCATTCGTGGCAATCATTAGTATTCAGGCAAATAAAGAAAAACTTTAGTTTGTAGAATTAGTTTTGCATATTTACGATTTGTTTTTTATATTTGTTGAATTGTGGCGACTGCGTGACACAATTACATTTAAGTTAAAATTAAAATGTAATTAACACGTGTAATTTCTATTTTAATAATTTTGCACACATATACAACATCTAGTTTTTGGCATTTAAACCAGCCAGTTTAAATCGTATTTCGATAGAGTAGTTCTGATGTTATGATATAGTATCTATAATAAAATAAGTTATGTTATTTTTATATAGATTGCAATAGTAGATCTTTTCCTACATATTGGAATTGTGCCCGATTATGTACTTGGTCAGTCGATTGGTGAACTGTTGTGCGGATATGTGGATGAATTTTTTACTGTTGAGGAAACAATTTTAATGGCGTATTATATGAGTGTTGCGTTTGATAAAATAAAAGTAGAACAGGTAAGTAAGTGTAGGTACTTTATTCTGTGTACATACGCATGTTACTGTATTGTTATGTGTTTTTTTCAGTGTGATTATATTTCTGCTGCTTCTAATCAGTATCCAGAATCTACTAGATTAAAGCTACTAGAATATCTGAATCAAATAGCACCATATAAATCTATGAAAAATTTTAAATATAGTAAGAAATGGTTAAACAAGTTTTTGCCTCACAATAAAATATACAACTCATTTACGCAGTTATCTGCTGCAGAATATTATGCACACAGTGCAGTATATTCGTCACTTGAAGAAATTTTACCTATGATACCGAAAAATGTGGTAATTATTGAAATAATATCATATAATAATTGGCAATTTTTTATGAAAAACTGTTTAGATTCAAACTATATTGCATTATTTCAACACGGTCAACAAAATAATATAGATAGCATTTTGAAAGGAATTGGCAATCTTTACAATATCGGATGTCAACCGCAAGTTGCAAACTTATATCCGCCAATACAATTTCCAGTCAGTCGTGGAACACCAATGATATCTCCTCTTATAAAGTTTGTTTGTTTTTTTGTTTTGATAAAAAATAAGGTTTCATTTTACCTAATATTATATATAGGTATATAGTTTATATTTTTTTATATTGCTGTTATAGATGGGATCACTCTGAAAATTATTATGTTGCAAAATTCGTAAGTGAGGAAAAACCTACCATTAGAGAAACAATTCAAGAGATTACATTCAAAGATTCCAATTTGAAATATATGTATGATCATGTAATTGACGGTAGGATTCTATTGCCAGCTTCAGGTTATCTGATTTTAATTTGGAAAATGATTGGAACAATGTTACGCTGTGACTATAAAAATATACCAATTATATTTGAAGATGTTAACTTTCTTCGTGCTACTTACTTATCAAAAACGACTACTGTTAAACTGACTCTTTCAATACAAAACGGTAAGAGTTTATTTAGTATGTTTGTTTTTCCTTCTTTCTCCTCTCTCTCTCTCTCTCTCTCTTTTTCTCTCTCTCTCTCTCTCTCTCTCTCTCTCTTTCTCTCTTTCTCTCTTTCTTTCTTTCTTTCTCTTACAGACACACACACATACAACAAATTTATTATACATATGTTTCTTTCTCTATTGTTTTCCTATTAATTATTATATAGGCAGCAATCAGTTTGAGATTAGTGAGGAAACTACTGTTGTTGTTACTGGAAAAGTGTGGATTCCACATGATATTGCAAATCATAAATTACTTATTCATAATTTAAAAGAACCTGAATATAACGTTACAAAATGTATGAGTACCAAGGATATTTACAAAGAATTACGACTTCGTGGTTATCACTATTTTGGTATATTTCAAGGCTTGAAAAGTGCATCAATTTCAGCAAAAATGGGATATATTACATGGTCAGACAATTGGACAGCATTTATTGACAACATGATGCAGATGAAAAGTTTGTTACTAGATTCAAGAAGTCTTTTTGTATCAACAAGTATTCGTAAATTAGTAATTGATCCTCAATTTCACATAAAGCAAATACAAACTACGCCTGATGAAAAAGCGAGTAAGTATATTATAATGAAATATACTCCATATCATATTTTATGGATAAAATTTGTACGATAAACTGTAAGTAACAAACAATATAAAGAAAACAAAAAACTTTGTTCACACACACACACACACACATTTAATACTCCTAATATTAACACATATGTTGTCATGGCAAAAGATCTAAAATACATATGTGCAATATCTGTTACCACGCTCAATAACAGACATTTCAAAGTAAGTATCGCAAACATTCTTCTACATCGAGTGTTTTTTTCTGAAACAGTTAATGACAATCTCTCTCCTGTCTCTACCATTATACATCTCTATTATGCTATCTCACTTTCTCTTTTCTTTTTAAAATTCTTTACTGAAGATATACAATTTTTATTTCAGACTTTTCTGTACGCGTTTATGATTCTCTGGACGTTATAATATCTGGAGGAATCGAAATTTATGGCGTTATGACTACAAATATATCTCGACAAATTACTGAACCTATTCATGATGAATATTGTTTTATTGCTCATTGTGATCGTGCTGTGATGTCTCTAACAGAAATTATACAAATATCAGCGCATATCTCGCTGGAATGTAATCTAGTACTACAGGCAAATTTTATTGAATTAATTGAAAATGTTGACACAGTTACAGAGCAAGATCTAATCTCTACAATTCTTTATGACATTTTAAATAATTTGCCAATGATCGAACCAAATGTTTCATTGGTTGCTCCAGCTAATCGTTTCAAAAATAATGAATTATCTCCAAATATCAAGCANTCCGACAATTTGACAAAAGATAACAATTTCCTAATGATTATTGTTTTCAAACTTTTAACAAAAAACANAAGTGAATTAATCAATACATTATTGTCTACATTAAAAAAAGGTTGCTTTGTACTGTCAAGAGAAAATCTCACTGATTCCTACAATTATACATTATTACAACAATATAAGTTGAATATAGTTTTAGAGAAACGTACAGAGAAAGAAGCATTTGTGCTTTTAAGAAAAACACAAAGCATTGTACCGCAAAAAGTTATATATATAAATAACTTTGACTTTTCGTGGATTAACAAGTTGAAGTCTGTATTAAACATGGATGATAAATTAAACGCATCCACAAGAACAATATTAGTTGCGGACGATTTTGAATGTGGCATATTGGGTTTTATCAATTGTTTACGAAAAGAGCTGAACAAAACAGATGACAAGATTAGATGTGTATTTATCCAAGATGAAAATGCGCCGAAATTCTCTTTACAAGACTCTCTCTACATAAACCAATTACACTTGGACTTGCCTATTAATATTTTACGCCCCAACAAAGTTTGGGGATCGTATAGACATCTTCCGTTACCACAACTAAAACCAAAATTGGTACAGCATGGTTATGTCTCTCAGAGTGTATGTTCATATAAATTTATAAATTAATTTATGATATTTTCCTATTGTGTATTTTTTATTACAACAGTATTGATATTTGTTGTAGGTGCGAGGTGATTTGAGCAAATTGCGTTGGGTTGAAGGCCCGATATCTCCTGATTACAAACAAGAAAATCTCGTACGTGTAGTATACGCATCACTTAATTTCAAGGATATTATGATAGCTACTGGTAGAATTCCTCTGGATACTTTTGAAAAAGAAGGAAGAAAAGTCGATTCTTTCCTAGGTTTTGAATTTGTCGGGTTCAATGAAACTGGTGAAAGAATAATGGGAGTATCTACTGTAACGTATGGAAAACATAAATTTATTAGTTGTTACAGTTTATATACAAAACAATTGTCTTCAATAATTCACTTTTTCAAGATTGAGCTGATGGATGTAATTCACAATCATCCCCTGTTTTTTTCTAAGTTTTGACGCGAGTTGCGCGACCTTATTTAAGCCGGAACATACAAACCCAGTAAACAATTTTTTCGCAATTTGCCGGCAAACTGTCAGCAATTTTAAGCAAAACTACTCAGCAAATTGGTATCACCTGTGTCCGCATTAGGCTTCCCCAGTAAGCAAAATGCGCGCAATATGCCAGCAGATTGGCAACAGATATACTAAAAAGTTGCGAGCAAATTGATATCTGTTGTGTCCGCATTAAACTTACAATCTGCTAGCAAAGCCTGCTCACAGAATCTGATAGCAGATTGATAGCAGAAACCGAGCTGAATCTGCTAACATGACTTGACATCAGATTGTCGGCAGAAACCGAGCAAGATCTGCAGCTTTTAGCGATTCATAAAATAATGCATTTAAAGGATTTCAATATTATTTTTATATTTTTTTAATATAAAATAAATAAAAAAACAATTTAAAGCAATATTTTTATTATATTCTTACAATGATTTTTTTATATATTATTGCGCTTTTTCAACTTATCTACTAAATTATAATTATGTATAAAAAAATTNTACATAGTCATACACTAAAATTATATATAGATAGATATAATTTATTGACGTCTTAAACACTAATTTAAATTCTAACTTCGCTATACACATAGTGTACACATACATAGTAAATTTATTATATAATGTGTCACACTACAACCTCTATAATTTTTGTATAAAACATTTTTTTCGAACATGTCTTTTTTTAATTAATTAAGAAGTCTAATCTATTAAGGGGTTTCTACTTTTGCAAGATCTTATAGTTATAAAAAAATTATTTCGCTTGTATATAAGGTTAGTGTTGTATATATGTTAGTATATATTGTTATATATGTATATATAGGGTGTCTGACAACGAACCAAAGCCGACGTGTGTAGGTAAATCGAGTTATTCTGAACAGAAAAATTATATACCATTTTGCAAAATTTGCAATATTTATTGAGATATGAATTAATAAATGTGAACCACTGAAGGCGCGGGGAGCGATGATCGGACTCTATAGGCGTGCACAATTATCAGCTCTATTCCTCGCTCGCCGCTGCTCGCTGCGTACCGCCGAATAGCGCCCGATCGCAAGAAACTGAGTCGTTCCGCGCTTGTTTCTTTACTCCGCATCTCGTTACTAAGACATTACATGAGAGAAGCCATTTTTCTTTTTATCTGATAATCGTGGACGCCTATAGAGTCCGATCATCGCTCCCCGCGCCTTCATTGGTTCACATTTATTAATTCATATCTCAATAAATATTGCGAATTTTGCAAAATAGTATATAACTTTTCTATTCAGAATGACCCGATCTACCTACACACATCAGCTTTATGGTTCGTTGTCAGACACCCTATATATGTATACAACGTGTCCCAGAATTAGTTTAACATTTCTCGTAGGCAGGTAGAAGGAATAAAACTGAGGTGAAAAGTCTTATACCGTTTTGCTAGATTCGCTTGTATATATAATATATACAAGGTGTCCCAGAATTGGTTTAACATCTCTCGTACACAGGTAGAAGGAATAAAACTGAGGTGAAAAGTCCTATACCATTTTGCTAGATTTGCAATAGTTACCGAGATATTAAGTAACAAAAATCCGCGAATAAGCGTGCATCAGGCTGTCTTACGCGCGTAGAACAGCCCGGCGCGCTTCACACAATTACATTGTAATATGTATATGTTATAGTATATGCTGTTATATTAGCTCCTCCCATATGTCGCTATGGATAACACCGTTAGCGCGCGAAGCGCGGCGGGCAGTCTTACGCGCGTAAGACAGCCCGATGCATGCTTATTCGCGGATCTTTGTTAATTAAAATCTCAGTAACTATTGCGAATCTAGCAAAACGGTATAGGACTTTTCACCTCAGTTTTATTTCTTCTACCTGCCTACGAGAGATGTTAAACCAATTCTGGGACACCCTGTATATATATTTTTTTTATAATTATAATTTAATAGATAAATTGACAACGCGTAATATGTAACACAATCATTGTAACATTATATAATAAAATTATTACATTGCATTTTTTATTTTAAACTAAAAAAATAGTTAATTCAGAAGACTTAAATATATTTTATGTTATAAAAGTAACATTTTGAAACCTTTTAACTGCATCATTTTACGTGAATCGCCAAAAGCTGCAGATTCTGCTCGGTTTCTGTTGCCAATCTGCCGTTAGAGTGAGCGTGCGCAAATTTTGTTCGGTTTCTGCCGACAATCTGACGTCAAGTAATGTTAGCAGATCTTGCTTGGTTTTTGCAGCCAATCTGCTGTCAGATTTTGTGAGCAAGATCTGCTCGATTGTTAGCACCAATTTGTACACTTAATCAATAATAACAACTTCTGTATCAGATTTGTAGCCTTTTTGTTGCCAACAGGTGATAGCAGACACTTGCATGATCTGCTTNTGACAGACTTGGCTATCTGGGTACTTGTTCCTTACTAAAATGAAATTATTTTTGTTTACTTATTCTAAAAGACGGTCATTCGTTTTCGACATTTAATGGGCTACAAGATAGAATAAATATATGTCAACAGTTTTTACCAACCATACGACAAAAGTACATCGGTGTCTTGTTTTGTTATCGTCATGTTGCTCTTATGTTGCCGAAACCGGAATGATAAAGCAAAAAGTTTTCTATAAATAAAAGTCATTTTGTTGACAACATAATGAGCAATAGTTGCTCTTTGTTTGCTCTGAATCTGCTGACACAAAATGTCTCAAATTTGCCTTCGTGTTATCGATTATGTATGACTATGCATCATATATTTAGCAAATACACAGCAACTAGTTGAAAACATCAGCTCAACATTAAGTTACATAATTTTGCAAAACATGCTTGGCTATCAGAGTATGTGTATTTTATAAAGTACTACTTTAAGTAAATCATTTTAGAGGAATCACAAATCTTATTGTGGCTGATCCACAACTTTCTTGGATCATTCCTGACAAATGGACGTTTGAGGATGCTGCAACTGTCCCAATTGCTTATTGTACGAGTTATTATGCTTTGTACACACGTGGAAAATTAAAGAAAGGAGATAAAATTCTTATACATTCCGGCACTGGTGCCGTTGGGCAATCTGCAATTTATCTCGCGCTTTTTGAAGGATGTGAAGTTTTTACAACTGTAGGAACACCTGAAAAACGAAACTTTATAAGAGAAAAATTTCCTTCTA